TACAGGAAAACACCAAGAGGACTCAGCAACCTTCATGAATCCATTAGGAACGGCAGTTACGACTTTGCAGGAACACAGCCCAGGGAGTATCATCTTTTGGAAGTCTACAGCGACTCAGATTGGGCAGGAAAGAAGGACACGAGGCGCTCAACATCTTCAGGAATTGTTTGCTTAGATGGCCAGTGCATCTATTCTTTTTCAAGGAACCAAAAGTCAGTCAGCTTGAGCAGTGGTGAAGCAGAGTACTACGCAGGAGCTAGCGCGGCATCAGATTCTATATTGTTGAAGGAAGCAGTAGAATTCTTGACAAGGAAAGTCTGCAAGGTACACTTGTACATGGACTCTTCAGCAGCTAGAGGCATCATTACAAGGCAAGGTGTAGGAAGAGTGAAGCACCTCCAAATCAGGACCCTTTTTCTACAGGACCTCCACAAGCAAGGAACAATCAGCGTGCACCCTGTAGGAACCAAAGAAAACACAGCCGACATAGGAACCAAGCCCCTTTCAGCGAAGCGCATTAGATTGCTGTTGCATTGGTTAGGTTTTCAAACTGGAGAGAACGAACCAGTAGGCCGAGAAGAACTCAAGGAACACAAGACCCAAACACAAGCCAAAGCAGTTGTAAGGATGATCAAGAGCCCAGGAACTTTGTCGTTTGCAGCTTTGTTGTTTGCAGGTATTTCAGGAATTTCAGACAGTCTTCAGATTCAAAGTTGCAAGGAACAGAGTTTTGAGAGCTGTTTTCTTCAGGAAGAGTTTCAGCCAGAGTTTCAGGAACATGTTTTCTGTTTTGCAAGTGCATGTGCACAGGATGGCATATGCAGTGACACGAGTGCATGTGAGTTAGGAAAGTCTGCAGGAACAGCGCATGAAACCTCATGTTTTGAGATGCTTTCTCAGCTCAAGGAATTCTGCGGAACAGTCGCGGAACGCTCAGGTATACAGGAACTAGTGCGACCTGTAGCAGAAGGTCAAGGAACCTTAGCAGAAGGTCAAGGAACCTCAGCAGAAGGTCAAGGAACCTCAGCCATGGAAGCCAGCGCGAGTACGGCAAGGAACAGCAGTGACGTTCTCAAGGAACTGGAAACGTTAAAGGAAGCCGCCACAGAACTCAGGAAAGCCAGTGCGGAAAGGAACGAGATCGCAGAGTCGATCAGGAAGAACACAGAGGAAGCGACGCGTTTGCGTCGATCCCAGGAACATGTGGCTGGTTGCGTGAAGTCCTTGACAGGACAAATCCAGGACGTCAAGTTTCAGGTTCAGGAAATGGCCGAGCAGAACGACAGAGACAGGACAGAGTCAAAGGAACACCTGGCGCACGTCTTCAGCCTTCAAGACGTGTGACAAGCTCAAGGACCAAGTGCAGGAACTGATGAACGAGTACCACCTGGTTACAGAGGAACAAGAAGAAGACCAAAGGAACAGAGAAGCAAAAGACCGTGAAGAAGAAGGAGAACTTCGACGCACAGGACACGGTTTGGGAACTACAACGCGACCTACGTCACCTACCTCCACGCAAGCAAAGGAACAGAAGGACATAAGAGAGTGGTCTGACAGAGAGTACTTTGACCGCCTCCAGGAACAAGAGCAGGACTACATGGACTACAACTACGACGAGAACGAAGTCTACGTGCACAGCTACGTTGGAGGAGAAGAAGCCACAGCAGAAGAAGCCACAGCAGAGGAGCCACAGGAACAAGAGGAAGAAGAGGATGAAGAAGCAAAGGAGGAAAGAAGGAAGCAAAAGATCAAGGAAATCAACGCCAAGAGCAAGGAAAGGCTCAAAGAGAAGGAGAAGGAAAAGGAACTCTTTCCGTACCCTTACGACTACAGCAGCGAGTGGAAGGAGTACACCGAGAAGAAACTTTTCTGCCTGCAGACTTTTCTTTCTTTGAAATCGGTGACAGGCCGCAGGCCGTGTTTGACATTGACAACGGTACTTCATGAGACTTATTTCATCCCACCCCTTTTTGGGTGGATTTTTTAAGAGAAGTATTTGACATGCTTTACAGATTTTCAGTCGCATGTCCATCCTTGTGTGCATCTCTGATGACGCTCTTGTTTGTGACGAAGTGACTTCTCGAGCTGAGCTTTTAAAACTTTTCGGTGGGTCCAGCCATGGAAGGCCGTGCCGCTTTTGGCCGCTTTTTACACTGCGCCGAACATTCCGATGTTGTGCAGCTTGTTTGGATCCACATGTCTCCAGCCGATCGCTTTTATTTCCTTCGTGTGAGCTGGAGCCTTCGCGTCTGCTGCTTCTGTGCTCAGCCTTAAACAATGGACCGTCAGTTGCCTTTCGAAGCTTCTGATATGGAAGGGGGTGATTCGGCAGAAGCTCCTTACAACGTGTGGGGGCTGATACAGGATGGACCTGCCGCAGCCGGGGACCCATTCGAAGAACACCTTGAGGGGCTGCTTCGGGATGACCTAGCAGAGGTCCAGCAGTCGGACATCTTGAGTTTTGAGGGATGCGCAAAGTATGCTGAAGGCGAGAATTTGGATTTTTCTGCGGATGAGAGAGAGTGGTATTCTCAGGTTCAAGACAATGAACTGGGAAGCTTTGAGTGCGTGGAAGAAGAGATATCTGCTTCCTCTTCTGCTGCTCCGCCACATCTGCCAGGACCGCAATCCAATAAGCTGTCATGGCTTGAGGGACCTATGGCTGAGCTGGACGCTTCTCAAATGGTGGCTGCAGCAGTTCACAAGAGAAGGAGGTTTGAGTTGCCACGTCAGCCCTGGGAGTCAAAGCCTTCACATCTTGAGCAATGCTCGGAATTTTTCTTGAGACTTTCGACTTCTGTTGGGGTGAGCGAAACTCTGTCTATGACAAAGGAGAGGGATCCTGAACCTGATATTTTTGCTCACATCCCTTGGACGGTGACCAGAAGGTTGGCCAAAGCAAGGCTGCCGAAATCTGATGCGGACATAAGGGATTCTTCTTTGAGGAGGTTCAAGATGCTGATCTTGATTGACCCCGAGGCCACAGCCTTGGGCAGCAGCCTGGTTGATCAAGGAAAAGCCATGGAGGATGAGCAAGTCATAATGCAGAGCCTGGCAGACGCTTTCCGAGGAAAGGCGTCCTTGACTTTGCAGAAGAGATCCCTATCGCTGCAAGTGTTTGTGGTGAGGTCCTATGATGCTTCGCTGGATTCACCATGGCGGCTTAACGAGGCTCAAGTCTACGCGATCTTTTCAGGCTTTCGGGAGCATGGTGCTAAAGCTTCTACGGCTTCTCATATCCTGGAAGCTTTGAGGTTCTTTCATGCCATTGCCCGTTTCAAGTATATGGACTTGGAGGCCATCTTATCTTCGAGGGTGCGTGGCGTCGCACAGGACTTGAAGCTCAAGAAGGCTCCTCTGAGACAGAGGGATTCTCTCAGTCGTCGACGAGTGGAGGCATTGGAGCTTCTGATGGAGAGATGCTCTGATTGGGCCCGATGTGTAGTCAGTGTAGTCGGGCAATTTCTCTTTTGTGTACACACATCTTGTCGTTGGAGCGATTCTCAGAACGTTCTGTCCTTGACTCTCACCTCTGAGGGAGAAGGCCAATTGCTAATTGCGGAGGCCCTTGGATCGAAGACGTCTACCACAGTGGAGGCCAAGACGCGCCTGCTGCCGTACGTATGCGTCTCAACTGGGGTGAGCAACACGCCGTGGGCGCAGCTCTGGTTGGAGGCACGTGAGAGAGAAGGCATCCAGTTTGACAGAGGGTGCTTGCCTTCCTGGTCGCAGAAGTGGGGATGCTGGGGCCAGGAGCGAATGTCCTCAGAGGAGGCCAGCGACATCTTGATCGACGTCCTAACATCATTGGACATGGCCCCTGGACCTGAGGAGTCGATAGGGACCCACAGCTTCAAGACTACCTTGATTACGTGGAGTGGATGGTCTCCTATAATTTCTTTTACCCCCAAGGAGAGGTTGTTGATGGGACATCACCTCAGGAAGGGCGGCCCTTCTTCGACTTTGATTTATAGTCGACAGTTCTACATCAACTTGTCGGGCAAAATCCTGGCAATGTTCAGGACCATCCGCCAGAACCAGTTCGACCCGGATGCCGAGGTCACGGACAGAGTCGCTGCGGTGGCATCGGCACTCGCCGGCGACACGACTGCTGCACAGGCTCCCGCTCCTCCTGAAGATCAACATGTGGGTGCCGCCGATGTGGAGTCTTCTGAGTCTGCTGAGTCCATCGTGGGGTATGAGCCGATGCCGCGTTCCGGTCTTGAGCTTAGGCCACCTTTCGAGTGCACTATGGCGGAGCTCCGTGTGCATAGCCTGTCTGGCATCGTTCATCGACTTAGGGACGAGGGCACTTTCTTTTGTGGGCGTCCCCTCACGGACAGATACAGGGATTTCGAGGAAGACGATGCCGATGATCCGGACACCTGCCATCAGTGCAGGCGGGCGATGTCGGGCGCTGATTGAACAGATAATCTCGAAAGAAAAATCGGCCGAGCTCGGTGGTGGGATGTACCACTGCAGTTCTTTTGCATCGCCGGCTTTTGGCCCGTGGCGAGCTCAGACAATGCCAAAGCGAAAAGACGTCCCGATCCTTCGGATCCGTGGGACCCGCTTTCCCCATTCAGGAGTGAGTTTCATTCGACGTTGATGTGAACTGTTGGGGCTGTATATCGTGGCTCCGGAGAATACACATGGCACCGGTCTATGACCCGAGGTGACAGACTGCGGATGCCGGCTTTCCGAGCCCGGGGCATGCCGAAAACCCAGACCCTTTCTCTTGGAATGGCGCGGGCTAGATCTGATGTAGGACTGTGAAACACATCCATGCATCATGCACCGGCCTATGGCCCGTGGTGCTGGAAGTTTGGCGAACATGCTTAAAGTGTCGTTGCTGAAATCACGATGTCATGGTCAGCTGTGCAGCAGCTTGGCAACATGTCAAAGCGTGGATCCGGCGCCCGTTGGCTCAGACAGTGACCGAAGCATTCTGCTTCAATACTGTGTCAACGGCCGAGTCCGAGTAGCCTGCAGGCTGAGCCATGTCCTCTGTCATATTGGACAGTGAAGCGTCGTTCCGGGAAAGATGCAGTAAAATAGGCCTCAGCAACGATCTTCTAGGTAAGTTGATTGAAGCCGGTTACAACACATTCGAAAAGCTGGCTTTCGCCGCATCGTCTACACCGCAAGGTCTGACAGATGAAGCTGTCGACTCATGGCTAGCCACTGTAGTCACCCCGGCTCCTGGTTCCTTTCAGGTTTCAGTGATCCGTAGGTTGCTGTTTGAATCGCAATCACTCAATGTGGCGGACCTCAAGTCTAGGGTCGAAGGGACTCCAGAAGGTTCCGTGCGCCGCCTGCCCCAGGCCGAACGAAAGGAGCGGATTGAGGCGCAGCATCGTAGGCTGTCGGGTCTCATCCTAACTTCTCATACAACCCCTGCCCATAGCTGCATCGACCTTGTGACCGACATGTACGAGAATAACACACTCAAGTACATTCCGATTAACAGATGGATATCCCGCTTCCAAGAGATGTCTCTCCAGAAGAAGGATTCTGCCGTTCAGATGGACAACGAGGGCAACCTAAAGGTGATCCAGAAAAAGCCGCAGCCGACGTGCGACACCACAGGCATGTACCCTCTCCGGCAGGCCTTTCAGAGACGGTCGCTAGCCTTTGATCTGGGTCACTTGTGTAGCTTTGAAGCTATGGAAACTTGGATCAACAAGCTCTTCGAAGCAGTTCAACGCACCGTGCCAAAGGGATATGTGGCGGTTAGCTTGGGACAAGTTGTTACGGCAGATCGCGAGCTTTTTGTTCGGTTGGCCGACATGCTTGAGGGACAATTGCAGAAACCCATAGGTGTTGAAAAACCCATGGATGCTGCCTTGCGCGATCTATCGGGAAGCCAGGAGATAAATCAGTTTCTTCAGCCGCTTGTAGCTCCTCCTCCTGCCCCTCATCCAACGAAGCGCCCTTTCAAGGAGCTTACCACGCCAACCAAAGGTGACGGGAAGGGGAAGACGCCCAACAAGGGCGGTGAAAAGGGCGGAGGCAAGGCATCCCGTGTGACCATTCCGGATGGCTGTGCAGCCAAAGATCCTCAGGGCAAGCCGAATTGTTTTGGGTTTAACTTGGGTACATGCAGGCTCAAGGTGACGAAAGGAAGATGCCCGCGAGGCTTCCACCAGTGTTGGCGTTGTTTTGGGGATCACCCCTTTACTGAATGCACAAATCAGGTACAGTGATGGGGCCATGCGAGGCCCCAGGGGCCTGACCTCGTGGCCACTTCGGATTCTGCCCCTAGCGATGCTGAGGTCCTCGCACAGGCCATTTTGGCCAGAGGGTCAGGGATTACAAAGCAAGATGTTGTTCAGATTTTTGATCTTTTGCCCAAGGAGATTCCTTCTAGAGGAGCCTCCTCGCATCCTCCGAGCAGCTTCAGTTGTGGGGCATATGCAAAAGGTGGATTGCAGGGTCTTCGGAGTGAATGTGCTCTGTTTCCATTCTGCGTCAAGCTCTTCACTACTTTTGTTCGCGCTTTCATGCCTGATCATTTCTTCACTACAATCAGTCTGTTTCACAACACCAAAACCGATTTGCATGTCGATTCGAGGAACCATCCTACCCCCAACGGGGTCATACCCGTGACATCTTTTCAGGGAGGTGGCATCTGGATCGCTGATGGATGCGGACCTCACACACGGTCAATCAAAGGTGACATAGTAAAGGGCTCAATCCTTAGCCTCGAGACCCCGGTCACTTTCGATGCCTTTAAATACCCTCACGAGACCGAAAGCTGGGTTGGCGATCGCTTGGTTTGTGTGGCCTTCACTGTCGCGAGCCTTGAGAAAATTTCAACTGAGTCAGCAAGGACCCTGCTTAATCTCGGGTTTAGGCCCCCGCCTGATCTAGCCTTTCCCATTCCTGTGACTGCCCAGGAACAGCCGCCTGTGAAATCAGACTCGTGGGTTTACGAGCTTTTCGCTGGCAGTGCACGTTTCAGCAAGGCTTGCAAGGATTTGGGTTTTCGGGTTTTGGGGTTAGACAGTTCTTGCTATAGAGCAGTCTCTCCTGTAGCCAAGCTTGATCTGACCTTAGATTCAGCCCAGGCAATCTTTTGGGATCTCATTAAGGAGTGCCCTCCTTTTCACGTGCATGCATCGCCCCCTGCGGGCACGGCTTCTCGCTCTCGTGAGCGTCCCCTGCCAAGGAATCATGCCCTTGCCTCTAAGGCCCCTAAACCTTTGCGTTCCGATGACTTCCCTTTAGGCCTGCCGTCACTGAGTGCCGCGTCTCAGCAGAGCCTTGCAGTGCGCAAGGACAATGTGCTGTACCGTTTCGTTTACAAGCTTCTGCTGCATTGTTCCGCTTCAGGCATCAATGTCAGTGTTGAGAATCCTCGGAATTCGCTTTTCTGGAAGGTTCTTCAATGCTTTGCTGAGGCCGAGGGTTTGCTTTGGCCGCCGGCCGCCTTGGAGTACGTTGATTTCGACCAGTGTTGTCATGGTTCCGATCGACCCAAGTCCACTCGCTTCTTGTGCACTCGAGGCTTGTTCCACTCGCTTCGAGCTACTTGTCCAGGCAATCACGTGCATCGCCCGTGGGGCCTGGGCCTTGTGTTCCATGAGCGTTCTATGCAGTTGTCGTCTTCTATGGTGTCGGCATACCCCGTTCTGCTCTGCAAACGCATGGCCTCCTGTCTGGAGAGCGCGGCTTCGTTCCTGGGTCTATCTTTGCAGGCATCTCCTGACTTGGCAGCCAGCTCTGTTGCAGTTCTTGGTCGGCAGCACCGCCGATTCCCTCCCTTGATTCCTGAGTTTCGCAAGGTCTCTTGGGAACCGCCCTCTTTCCAACCTGACGACTCCTGTCGCATCCTTCTCTCTCAGATTGCTGGGGAGGATGGCGGGAGAGAGAATGCAGCCGAGGACAGCAATGCAGCCGACAATGCAGCTGTGTTTGAAGGACGGGTTACTGGCGACAAGGAGTTGAACCCTCCTGCTAAGCTCCCCAGAGTCGCGAATAAGGTTTCCAGCAAGGTTCACTCCTTTGGTTTCCCTAACGGTTCCGACCTGCCCCAGGGTTCGGTTAAGGTGGGGTGGTACTTGTCGATGCAGGATCACGTTGCAAAGGCCTGACCTTAAAGCATCCCGTCGACACTGCCGTAGCCCTTGATCAGGATCAGCTTGATGCCATCAGCTTCTGCATGAAAACACAGAGAAAGAGGTGGTAGATCATCGTAAGCTTCAACTTATGAAGATAAAAATCCTTGCCAAAAAGTTTGAGGCCGACGAGGCTCGATTGCATTCTTCTTTCGACCCTTGGTTCGAAAAGGTTGTTGCGGGAAAGCGTCTTCTTTTGTGGAAGCACCTTCTTGAACAGAACGGTTTCGATGACATGCAAGTCTGCGATTTCATGATGTCAGGCGTCCCGATTGTCGGGCAGTCAGCCTGCCCTCCGCTTTTCAGCAAAAAGATTGTGCCGGCGACCATGTCGGAACAGGACCTCAAAAGCACTGCATCATTCCGCCGAAGGGTCTTGACTGGATCCAGTGGCATGCAAGCAGCCGACCTTCAGGATTTGCTGTCAAAGGCTACGATGGACGAAGTCGATCTGGGTTTTCTGGAAGGCCCTTACACCGAAAGTCAAGTGTCTGGCTTATTCCATTCGGAAGATTGGAACTGCATACGAAGATTCCTGATCCTTCAAGGAGCCGAGAACAAACCTAGACCCATTGATGACGGGCACGAGGCTTTGATCAACAATTGCTTCACGGCCACCATAAAGTTGGAGCTCCAGAGTTCCGACTTTGTTGCAGCTCTAGCAACAAGGATCGCCATTGAAGAGGCCCAGAGATCTCGCGCTACAGGCGAGCCCCCTCGATCGTGGCTGGGCAAGTGCCTTGATTTATCTAAGGCGTACAAGCAGATGCCTATGAAGAAAGAGCATCGCTCTCTGGCTGTGATCTACCACAAGGGCCCGGCTGGCGAGGATCAATTCTTCATTGCAAACTCGCTGCTCTTCGGACTCACTGCTTCGGTGTACGGGTTCGTGCGCACGAGCAGAAGCCTTCACAAACTGCTGCTGAAGATATTCAAGCTTCCTAGCTGAGTGTACTTTGACGACTTCCCGATGTTTTCGACATCGCTCGCCTCTAGCGACACTGACGGCATCATCAGCGAATTCTTAGATCTTCTCGGCTGGAGCCACGCCAAGACAGGCAGCAAATCACATCCCTTTGCGGAGGTCTTCTCCGTTTTGGGAATGCAGATCGACTTGAGCAACATGTCGGAGAGAAGCATCGTCCTGTCGAACAAACCTGGCAGGATCGATCGGATCGTGGAGAAGCTTGAATCCGTGGCTGCTTCGGGTTTCCTCACGATTCACCAGGCACAGATTTTGCTGGGCTTGCTCAACTTTTCATCGGGTTTCTTTGCCGGTCGTGCCCTCAAGCACTCGTGCAAATGGCTATCTGGTTTCCTGGCTGGAGACAGGCCTTCGCCAAAGACAGTCAGCGAGATGTGCAGGCACACGATCAAGATTCTTGTGAGTACACCGCCCCGCTTCATAAGTTGCGATTCGACCGGCGAGCCTCCCATCCTGGTATGGACTGATGGAGCTTGGGAGCCTGCCAAAGCCTTCGCCGGGATCGGTGCAGTGATTCTCGATGCGAGCAGCGGCGTTTCCAGAGTCTTTCAAGGGCAAGTTCCCGAGCGCCTTGTGGTTCGCTGGCGTGAGGAGGTCGGGGAGCAAATCATCTGTGAGGTGGAGCTTTATGCCCTCCTGATGATCAGGGCCGGCCTTCAGAATTTTCTTTCAGGAAAGAGAATCATTTTCTTCATTGACAACGATGCTGCTAGATCTGTGGTGTTGCGTGGTCAAAGCAGAAGTGACGCGATGCATCGTTTGGCCCTGGCTTTGTCTATGGTCGATGCCGTCGCCCCTTGCATTTCTTGGATAGAGAGGGTGCCATCCTCATCGAACATCGCAGATTGGCCCTCCAGGGGCGAAGGCTGGAAAGCGCAGAAAGTCGTTCGTGCGACAGATGTTGAGCCTTACCTTGTTGACCAATCTTTGATTGATGCCTACCTGCTCTGAGTTCGTCGATCCGAGGGGGTGTGTTCGGGACAAACTCTGAGCGGCTTCTGGCCCGTGCTCCTCGCATCGGCTGCGGCCCGGATGCTATGGTTCCCGAATTAGAATTCGTTCAAACCCCTGATCGCTGAAGAGAAAAATGAAGAGTGCGCGACCTTCTCTGCTGCCGACTTCTTATTTGTCCGGGAATACCATTGAGCCTCGAGCTCGACTCCTTTTATTGAGTCACATACATATCGAGTTGGATTCATTTGAATATATCGGATTGCGAAGTTTTTAGATATCCTTATTGTGTACTTCACCGCGAGAATACTCTGTGCAGTGTCGTCAGTAAGTGCCTCTATCAAACATCGCCGATTTTAAAGACGAAACTTTTCTGCCTGCAGACTTTTCTTTCTTTGAAATCGGTGACAGGCCGCAGGCCGTGTTTGACATTGACAACGGTACTTCATGAGACTTATTTCATCCCACCCCTTTTTGGGTGGATTTTTTAAGAGAAGTATTTGACATGCTTTACAGATTTTCAGTCGCATGTCCATCCTTGTGTGCATCTCTGATGACGCTCTTGTTTGTGACGAAGTGACTTCTCGAGCTGAGCTTTTAAAACTTTTCCCCGCCCGCCCAGCCCAGACATTTGTGGGGGGGGGTGTGTTCGGGACAAACTCTGAGCGGCTTCTGGCCCGTGCTCCTCGCATCGGCTGCGGCCCGGATGCTATGGTTCCCGAATTAGAATTCGTTCAAACCCCTGATCGCTGAAGAGAAAAATGAAGAGTGCGCGACCTTCTCTGCTGCCGACTTCTTATTTGTCCGGGAATACCATTGAGCCTCGAGCTCGACTCCTTTTATTGAGTCACATACATATCGAGTTGGATTCATTTGAATATATCGGATTGCGAAGTTTTTAGATATCCTTATTGTGTACTTCACCGCGAGAATACTCTGTGCAGTGTCGTCAGTAAGTGCCTCTATCAAACATCGCCGATTTTAAAGAACGGCGAGATCTACCGCGAGCACAGAGTTACAGGAGAAAAGCAGTGGATCTGCAAGGACTACGCGTACAAGCACGAGAAAGGAGGACAAGGAAAAGACAAAGGAAAAGGAAAGAAAGAAGGCAGAGGAAGAGCAAAGCCGCAGCAGAGAGCAGCAGCCGCGGGATTCGAACCGCGAGACGAGGAAGATCGCAAGTACTGGGCAGAACAAGACAGGATCTCAAAGGAACAACAGCAAGCAAAAGCCAAAGCAGAACAGGAAAAGAAGGAGCAGGAAGAGAAGATCGCCAAAGCAAGAAGGATCTTAGAAGAGGCAGCAGACGAGCAAGAGAAGCGAGACAAGGAAGAGTTCAGGAGAGAAGCAGCCGTAGCCGCAGAGAGAAGGAAAGAAGTTGAAGCAGCAGCCAAAGCAAAGGCAGAGAGAGAGGCAAAGGAAAAGGAGGAGACAGCCGCAGCAGAAGCCAAAGAAAAGGAAGAGCAGGAAGAGAAGGAAGCAGCAGCCGCAGCAGCAAAAGAGGAGAAGGAGAAGAAGGAACAGGAAAGAAAGAGAAAGGAGAAGGAAGCAAGGAAGAAAAGAGAGGAAGACAAGAAGGAAGCATCGGCATACATTGCCCGAAAGGAAGCAGAAAAGAAGGCAGCAGCAGAAGGAACAGCGTCAGGATCAGGAGAAATGGAACCGAGACGTGAAGAAGACAGGATGAAGAAGCTGGAACAGATGATGGAGGAGATGATGAAGGAACGCAAGGAAGATAAGGAAAGGATTGCAAGCCTCACACAGGAGCTTGAGAGCAGAGGATCAGCAGCCGGGTCGCAGGCACCCACAGAGCCAGACACAACACCAACAAAGGAGCAGGAAAAGCCAGAGGACAAAGGAAAAGGAAAAGGACAGGAGCCACCAAGCGTCACACAGAAGCAGCAGAAGCAGAAGGAAGGAACACACGACAAGGAACTTTCAGCCAAAGGACCAGTGAACGAAGCATTGTTCTTGAAAGGAAAAGGAAAAGGAGAGTTTGAAGGAAACTGGTTTGCAGTCTACGGTTTCCAAGGCAGGAACTACCAGTGGAAGTGGAACGAAGAGAAGGCGACATGGTACTGGTACTCAGGATCCAAGGAAACTGGATGGAAAGCAGGATCAAAAGACAAGCAAGGAAAAGAGAAGTGCAGGGCACAGGCAAAGCAGCGAGAAGAGTGGCTAAAGGACCAACTCAAGGAACAGTCGGAAGTCACCCACGACAGCGAAGACGAAGACGACAAGCCCGTGAACTTCCAGTGAAGCCAAAGGAACAGCGAGCCGTACTGAGGCCAGAGAGCCGAGGAAAGAGCAGTGAAGCAGGACACAGGAACCGTGGCACAGCCCTTTTTGTTTCTGTGGTGATCTAAGTAAGTTTCAGGAACTTTTGTACAGTCGAGCAACCTTGGAGAGGATTGCGAGTGAACGTTGCTTTACGTTTGCGAAGAGGAACAGCGTTTGTTTTGTAGTGAAAAGGAACTGCAGCGTGTTTACTGTCTGTTCAGGAAAGTCGGAGTCACCTCAGTCGAGGAACTTTCGCTAACTCCGAAGGCGGGGTGTTAAACATCTTGCCAGGAACAGTAACACCGCTAGTGCAGTGTAGTTAATGTAAAGGAACAGCCGTCACGCACACGCGACGTGCAGGCTCGAGACTACCAGGACACACTCCGCAGTGCAGGAAAAGTGTCCGCCTTTGAGAGTGAGTAGGAAGCTTAGTGAAGCCCGTTCTTTAACACTGGTTGGCTCTCCCTTTTCCGCGGTATGACCTGAAACGGCCACGTCCTTTTCGCTTGCCACCCTTTGCTCTTCCCGGTGATCCGGGACGCATTCTTGGTCTCCTTCCTTTCTTAAATCTCCTTGCAACGAAGGCCTCATGGTCATCCACTGTCCAGAAAACAGCTTCCTCATCTTCAGCAGCAAGAAAACCTTCCTCAAGGGTGTCTTCATCTTGGAGCCAGAATCCATCGACTCCGTCGTATTCACCCTAATCGAGGATGAGGAAGTTTCGGCCTCCGCGTTTGCAGCGTTGGTCTCTCCGTCCATGCCAGCCCTTCTTGTGAGAAGTATGCCGAATGTTGGGATCCTGCAGACCAGTTCTGGTCGTCGAAAACTAATCGAACATGGTCTGCCGTACTATGGGGTACGTGTAGGTCTCAATTCGGTAACCTTGGTTGGTCAATGCTAATACCAACCTCTCACGTTGTGTCTCATTCAGGTCGGACTGCACTAGAAACAGGAGAGCTAGGAGATTATCATTCAACGGAAACGCTCTACGATGCACATCAAGGCGTTCCTTGTTCCACGTCTCAAAATAACGTGCAGCGAATACTTCCTGCTCGTTAGCATCTTGAAGGCGAATGAAGGTTGGATCTTGGCGTACTGCAGCGAGAAAGTCAGGGTTGGCATCTTCCAGATTTATCTCTGGTAAGAGATCCATCCAAGAATTTCTCAGGCGCTGCAACACGATCTCAAACTTAGCAATCCAAGTTACAAAATCTTGGTTGCCCTTCCATGCTTTGAACAGGCCAAGGAATCGCCACAGGAAAACATACTGTTCTCCTTTCACGAAGAATGGACGCATCTTCTTCTTGAAGTAATCAACTCCATCTGGGGCTGCAAGCCTTTCACGGTTCAATGATTCTTTTTGCACTGCGGCCAATCCGGAGAGCCTCGTCTTGAGAGACGGACCTCTTTTGTTGTCATCCAGCGTTGTTATGTCGCACCAGTCGTCAATCAACTGTTCATACTCAAACCACGAGGTGGTGCCATCATAGGCAGGTGCAATCTTAAGCGTAATGCCAAATGATGCTAGCATGCGGTCAGATGATGCATATGACTGTGCGACATAGGTTGCTGGACCTTGTGAGGTCTCCTCGTCCTCATATCCCCCGGAGGATTGGGAGCTGCCGTCGGCTTCGCTGTGCGAGCTCGACATGGTGCTGCCTCCGCCCGCTTTGATAAGCGATCGGCTAGGCCAACCGCTGTTGCGGTGCTTTGTGAGGCGGGCGGCCCTTCCG